AAATATTATTTACAGTGACTAACTGATGGTTAAAACCTTTCAAATATTGTTCAGCACGATAAAATTTGCCAAAATCAGAACTTTTTAAGATTGTTCGTTTTACATTCATTATTACACTAAAAATGAAACTAGGATGAGCAACCGTTACAGGATATACTTTTTCCCCACTCTGTATATGTATACTGAATAATCATTATAAATTAAGTTGATGAGTTTTCCCACATTACAATTCAATATAGCTAAAAACCACAAGTAGAAGTACATAATACAGAAAATATTATATAAATATATAAAAGAATTATTTAATCTACATCTAAATTAATCTCAATATCTTGGAAATAAATCGCTGAAAATTGTTGAAATCTATATCAGTTGACTTGTTTTAATATTTCAATATTTTAAATAAAATGTATAAATTTCAGAATATTGTAATTTTATGTTGGACTCTTGCTGCTGCTTGCAACATTTTGGTGTTATTTGGTCTTTATAAACGACAAATATCCGTTCTGTCTACTGCTATCTACGTTGCATTAAGTAGAACAGTTTGGGCCATAGGCATAGCATGGATTGTAATAGTGTGTTGTACTGAGCATGGAGGTTAGTCGATTTAATAATAATATTAAATAGATAAAAAATAATCAAAATATTCTGACTTAAGAATTTAAAAAAAATAAAGATTGCCAGAAAAGAAAGGCTACAAGGCAAAACTCGTTTGTTAAGTACTAATGATTAATTACATCTATATTTAATAATTTATCAGTTGATATAAATATTAAATCATACTAACATATTAACCTCTTCATCAGATCTTTAATGTAAAACATATTAATTAAACTAATTGGAAGCAACAATAAAAATAAATATAAAAGAGTTGCAATTGGAGACGTTACGACCACCTTTGACGTACTACGCTGCAATTTGCTTTTACTTCCTATCATAAAGATATCTAAATCCACCGCCAATGACAATTAATCAAAAACTTAAAAAAAAAAAAGGAATTTCCATCAATTTATATAACACAGGGATATAAATACAATAAATTTCATATTTTCTTTTGTAATATTTTGACACTTACTGCGACATAGTAGATTATACTATTATACTATTACATTTTCTGGCTTGGTTTTTCAAAATATTCTGATGACGTCATCAAGTACGTTTATGTTAACTTTTATTGTTACATAATCAAGACTGATTATGTAATCAAAAACTGTTTGCCAATTTTTTTTCAATTGATATCATAACTAAATCGTCTGAGTCATTGTATTTCTAAGATAATATTTTATTATTTTTAATTTTGAAAAAAATACCTCTGCAGTTGCCACAGATTTGGCGCAATTAATAAGATCGGTAACGCTATTACTAAATTTGAAAAGATTTTCAGAAAATCACTTTTAGCTCATTCATTTAAAATATCAAGTAGAGTAGAGTTTTATATTTATTGGTGTAGCGCTTAAAATTTTGTGTCCCTCCAAATTTTACGCCCTATTCTGAAGCGTCTCCAACTCAGTGCCTTATCACGCTTCCGATCGCAATATAAATCGGTTACATATATTAGATAATTTATTAAATGTATATGCTGTCATTAATATTAAAAATGTTTGTAAATTCGTGTTTTCTTTCGATGGAAGAATTAAGAAAATATTGAACGAGGTAGCATTAAAACTTGACGTTATATAGGTAGCATAAATTGTAAATGGTAATAGAACTTTTTCCACTGCAATCATTTTCATAATAACATGTAACAAAAATCCATTATCATATGAATTTGTCTCAGAAAATCGATGCCGATTTTTATTGTAATCTTAATGTACAGTCTACAAGTTTCTCTGTCCATCTAATTGCAGTAGGTTCACAATTTTTCTTAGTGGTACATTTCTTTTTAAATGTCTGATAAATTAGTTATCTCGTAACGCGAAGCAATGATGCATTATGTTTGAGATAACTAATTTATCAGACGACAATTTATATTCCAAGATCTCGGAGTAATTTTTAGCGTCGATAAATACAAGGTTTAATAAGCATTTTTGTAATAGACAATTATATATACGTATAATAAATCATAACAATGGAATGTTATAATTTAGAAAAAAAAATTTATTCTTATCAAATGCTTTATTACAGACATTGTTAAGAAGCTCTTAGCATACAAAATCTGGATTCCTCTTAGTAGACTCACATACTGCGCTTATCTTGTAAATCCTTTTATTATACATTCGATTAGTTTGCATAGTGAAACACCTGTTCATTTTGAATGGTTGTCCACAGTAAGTACACGAACAATCAAAACTCTAACCTCAACAAATTAAATACATTTACTGTTACAATTTTTAGAGCGCTACAATCATAGGATATTTGGTGATTAGTTATTTCTGTGCATATATATTGTCTTTAATGGCAGAGGTACCGTATATCCTATTAATGCGAATGTTCAGCCAATCTCATAACAGAAAAAGGAATTGGAGATTATAATTTCGCATACATGACAGCGATGGAAATACTGTAATATTATAATAATTTGTAAATGAAATTCAATACAATAAAATCGAATTTTAGATGTTTGTCCCTCTATACATTTGTGTGAAATCACATTCAACTGGAACTAAGGAATAAAGGTTCAATTTGCATGAACTATTTAGAAGAAACAAGATCTAAAATAACTATAAAAATTAAATAAATTTAATGAAATGAATGATATTTTGAAAGTCAATTATTGCGTAGAATTGATTTCAATTTTAGGAATATAGAGCCATGTGCAACCATGTGCAAAAGTATTAGATACAAACAATTTTCTCGCATTTTATGAAAAGTTAAATGTCTCGAAAAAAAGAAATCTCAAAGAAGTTGTTGATCACGTATTTTAAAGCGTAAAGATATGGCTTCAAATCTGAGTTGAATCTTTTGCCTACGATATTTTGTTCCTAAGTTGTATAAACTTCAAAAATGATATTGTTGCATTTTGTTTTCCTCCAAAGCGCTACAGTTCGATAAAACATTAGCAAACAAAATTTAATATGAAAGTAGATTTCCTAAGCTTTAAAATGCCTTTTGAAAAAAATTTATACGATAATTTTTCGTAATGATATTGTATTTTTTATTCTATGAAATTTTATTGTGTAAAAACTTATTTTTTTAAAAATGATTTTTCAATTTTTTCAATTTTTGAATTGAATACGGAAAAAAGACAAAAGAAAAAAAGTTACAATGTGCATAATTCGTATAAATTATTTCAAATTTTTTAAAAAATTTTATTTGATTATCAATTTTAAAAACGTACAAGATGCTTCCGTAACGTATGCATCAGTAAAATCAGGTTGCCTGTCTGTCCATGGGTATAATATGAATATTTAAAAATATATAATTAT